TGGAGCTTCTTGTCGCCGCGCACGGCCATGAGCATGGTGACCATCGTCGCCGCGGCGGTGGCCGCGAGACACTTCCGGGATTTCTTCTTAGAGTTCACCAGGCAGGCGTTTGCTGTCGCCTCAGAAGGGGAGGAGCCACGGGGAGGTGCGGTGGTCAGCGTGCGGCGATGACGCCCCGCTAGACACCGATAGGGAGCTGCATGTTGATGGGGGCGTGATTCAGGGTCAGGCCGTCGTGTTTCGTATGATAGCCCTGGGGCGGCCCTCTGTCGTCAAGTCCGTTTTGTTTTGGCTGAGACAGGGAGCAACAGATAAAGCAGTGTTTCATATGCATACAGCAGCCGTTGTGTGGGGGTGCGAGGAAAAGTGGTCGGCGTACAAAGAGCAGTGATAATCACCGTTTTGGTAGCAAGTGCAACGGGCAGCGGCGAGGGGATAGAGAGAGCGAGGGGGAGACGAGCGGCGGTCCGTAACCCGGGGCCAGGGGACGAGGCTCTGGTGGAAAGAAGGGGCAGGCGTCGCGCGTCGAGAACGGGTATCAGGGAGACTCTGGAAGCGTTGTCAGACAGCCCTTTCACCTACTGTGGCGGTTCAACCTTGCAAATTAACCTGGCGAGGCATATCACAACGCAGAGTGGTCATGGTCCACCAAAGGGCTATTGATTTGCTGTCGAGGATGAACGAACCCGATGTCCTCCGCCCCTGTACACCACCGCTCCGGCTTGGTACTTCCTTGTGTCTTTTATAAAAATAAAAACGCCCGGTGCATCCCGAATTTTGCAGCCCCCTAGGTTTCCCTCACGATGGCGAGACGAGTGCGTTGTGTTCGACGGAGCGCGCGCACAATGTTGTCGACCGCTTTGTTGGAAAACTATTGCACCATTTGTGTTCGTAAGACCAAGCAGAGAGGGGTGTGCTCGTCGTGCGTCATCGTTCGTGCACCTGCCGTTGGGGCAGAGTGGTTCCCTCTCTAATTTAACGTCCCTTGTCTTTCCCCCTTTTCCCAGCATTCACTTCGGACTCGCAACAAACGCTTTGGACTGAGCTACAAAGGATGTCATACGAAAAAAACAAGAAACAGGAGCCCGTTATTCACCGCCTGCTGTCCGATCGCGTGTGGGAAAGAAACCCCTTTTCGTCACACGCGCTCCAGAACACGCTCGCCAGCTGTCTTGCATGCTGCTGCTGCGGTCGCTTCGGTGAAAATGAATCCTTTCACCGCGTCTACTTTCTAGTCTCTATCTGTATCCCCACCGCTCTGCGTGAGTGAGCCGAAAGCACCACGGCAAGCGAACGGCCATGAACTTGGTCAGCTAATACTTGTCTTGTTCACCGTGAGCAAAGTCTAGGTCCAGGCTGTAGTCTTAAAGTCTAGCATCATCCTCACGACAAAAAAAAAGCCAGTCCAACTGGCCGCGGTCTACACCTCCCCCCTGCCCGTCTGCCTCGCACTTCCGCCAGAAAACCTCATCCCGAACTGATGCTTACCCCGCTCATGGACAAAGTGTAGATAGCCATGGGGCGCAGTTGTACCGGGACGATGCTTTCCAGCAAAGACCAAAGCAATGCCACATCGACACATGGACCTTTTCACGTGCTTACCGGCCTACAGCAGTTGCACGCCTGTTCTTGCAGAACCGGATTGTACCCTTTCCAAAAAAAGGCTCGGCGAAGGTACATGTTGTAAATATCAAGGAGTCCTAGATGCCATTCATATTCCTCCCCTTTTCTTAGTAGAGAGTGGGTACGAACTTGGACACCTCCTCCTTGTAGGTCTTGTACGCTGGGTGGACGGCTACCAGCTTCTCCTCCTCCATGTCTGCCTTGCGGTCCTGGGAGTGTGCACAGACATGCATGCACGCGGCGTTTTGGTTCTCCTTGTGTCGTTCGATTGCATCCGTAGCTGAGAGGGGGGTTACGATTGAGGCAACACAAGAACAAAAAAACAAGGCTTCATCTCTGGATGGAAATGGATTTGTGATTGAGTGAGAGAAAACAACCAGGAATTGGGGAAACTGAATTACGGGGGGCGCAGCGCAGCGCGGGGCGGGGCGGGGTCGGTGTGCTGTTCTGCTCATGTGTAGAAAAGCAGACAGCGTGCTGCATTCAAAATCGAGCTCATGCGCGCACGAACGGCACAAGCTGCCGTGCTGTCCCTGCATACATACAACTTAACATGCCAGCCGGGATGCCTTCGGTACCCCGGAAGAGAGCGCTCACTGGCACCAGAGGGCCGCAGCGACAGCACACTTACTTCCCCAAGAACGAATCCATGCCATTTTGCGTTTGACACGGACGGTACGGAGAATACTGGACGGGAAACTCTATGGGGGAGAATCACTAACGGTAGTTAGGACAGACAGACTACTGTTGCATATTCCAACATGGCTGGGGTGGTGCAGTTGGAAGAGCACATCACTGCTGTGACCGATCTTTTCAACTGCATGATCGGAGACCACTGACCAACCGCGTGGTTGGCCCTTTTTAACATAGTTCTCGTTGGCACTTTGACGTCGGCTAGACCAGACTTTTGATCTGACATGAGACATGTGCTAATCGATCCCCGACAATGCACTAGTTCGGTCCCCAACAATACACCCGTTGATACCGTGCGTCGTCCCAGCACAAATCGATGCGTACACTACGGCAACAACGCGCTTAGGTCAGCAGTACACAGGGCATTTGTTTGATTGTTTTTCACGATACATAACACCGCGAGGTGTTTGATTGTTTTTCACGATACATAACACCACGAGGTGGCGTGAAAAGAATGCGCATAAACGTATGACGTGTCCCGAAACAGAACAATCAACAAAAATGAATACTTCAATCAATGAGACAAAGACAACCCCACCACACACATCTGAGCGTACCCTCTCCCTCTACAGAGTCTTGAGTCCCTGAACCTGCGATTAACCCTTCACCAGCGGAGGTATTGATTGCTCTTGGGTTTGTAACGAGGAAGAGCTAAGCGTGGCCGAGGTGCTCGGACGTTCTACAGCAACAGTGTCAAGGACGGTAACGGGTGAAAGTGAGTGCGTCTTCGTGGGCTCCTCCTACCTCTCTCCTATTCGAGACTCATCTGGACGGTCACAACATTCGGTGAATCTTTTTTGGCAAAACAATCCAACGTTGGAACACTGCTGTTCGCAGGTCTCCAGATGTCTACAGGTTCATGCGCGCCACCCCCCCCTAGGAAGATGCCCACTGGTACACTTGGTTTCCGCAACTGTTTTCAGATCAAGAAGCTTGTCTCCCCACGTCGACAGAGACATGCTTCCTCCTTTGAGCTACCCTACGCGTCATCGACGACCTTGACTTTGGCCCTCTTGTGGTCGTGGGTGTCGAGGATCCGACTTTCCTTTTGCCAACGACACCAGACAGTCGTGGATGCCGCGTCGAAGCAGGCCAACGCAGGGCAAAATACAAGGTCGTTCATGATGCCTAGAGTAGAGTTGCCCGGGGAGAAAGCATCCCTCGGTCGACGTAGGAAAACAGTGGTCTCTCGGTTTGAAAAAATCGTGAAACGAGTGTTTTGTCAACACGGCAACGATGAGGAGACACGAAAACAACAACATCGACAGCAACAGCAACAACAACCACCACCATCATCACAGAAATAACCAACAACAGGAGAGTACCCACCAGCACGTAGCCCAGGAGGCAGGCGAGCGCGATGCGGGTGAACGAGTCCGTCGAGAACCCCAGCCCGAGAGAGAACGCCACCAGACCCGCGTACATGGGGTGGCGGCAGAGCGAGTACACACCCGTGGTGTTGAGGACGCCTCCCTCCGCCGGCTCCGGCCACGGCGAGAAGTTCCTGCCAAGCTGCAGAGCGCCTGTTTTTTTTTTTTTTAATCCAATCACAGTGAGAGTTAGGATTTTAGTACCCCTTCGAGATGAACATACGCGGACCGCCCACGCGGGATTTGAAGAGCATCTAGAAAAAGAACAGGGAGGGGGGCACGCAGACCGTATTCCTAACCCTAACCCTAACCCCGAAGCCCGCATCGAATACTTTAATCCCATATGTTTGCTTAATCGATTTTGCTGCATAGACTACTGACATATGCACATGCATACAATCACAGAAAGAAGCAGAAACAAGCATTCTTTCGACACACGAACATGACCCCAGTCCCAGGGCTAGACTGTGTTGTTTAAGTCTTTTACAGCAGTGAGTGGGAGGAGATCATCTGAAGTGGGCATATCTTGAGTCTATTAATTTGAATTGGTATCATTGATGCTAGCTGGTGCTAACCAAGGAAGCATTAGAATAGGTTTTTACACACGGAGGTGGCGTTAGTTGGTCGTAGCAGGTACATGTAGGTGGAAAGCTCGAGTCCGTCATCGTAGCGGGGGGAGCAAGTTGGGAGCTGATTGGGGTTTGTTTCCATACGTCATCTGTGGGTAAAGGGAGGTGGCGGATCCCGGGTTGTCGTGATAATCTCGAAGCCGTCAAATAGGATGTGCCGGCCAATCAGAAACGGCGAAAAAAAAAAAGTGCACAATTGCCTGTAGACCAATGTAGCGTTATCATCAAACAAACGTCAGGGATCATACCATGTACCATTGAACAAGTCTGCTGCACAATCTGACAGGCGTTCAAAGTCGTTCCTTCGCCGGTTCATGGCGCCAGTCTAACTTAAACACCGCACGGCAGCAGTCGTGCGCGTCTCCTAGGACGGCATGCGTGGCTTGATCTGGCTGGACCGAAGTTGGCTCGTGGAGGTATCGTTCAATCGACTACAAGGGGCATGTGCTCGACGACACTTGTCAGCATGCGTCTGCTGCACCACTCAAAACTGGTCAACGAATCAGCGGGGTATCAACTATGCCCCACACCAAGTGAGGCCTGCAAATTACGAGCCCACGCTAGAAGCGCTTCAAACCTCGAAGCGAGGTTCTTTACTAGGCTATGTTCACCTGCATATCAAGTGTAACCATCTGCCACATCATCCTCAAACCGGTTCAGAGAGCCGTCCCGCATTTCTAGCCGGATCGTTTCGTCCTCACCCACAACACGCTACCGTACCGCTCTAGAATCCTACCGCACCATACAAAACAGAACAACAACAAAAAAACAACTCGCCGTCGTGCGGCAGTACCGTCAAAAACGAAAGGAGCAAAACAACAAACACAAAAAAAGCACACGGCATTACGATGCACATGCCATGTTGGGTACGTACAAAGCGACACTTTTGATAGTCTATGTTGCGCCTTTGTCTTCCTCTTCCAGTCAATGTTTACCTCGCATAGGGTGTAGAGGCGAGCCGAGGGTTCTAGGTTACCTGTCGTTGGTGCCTATTGGCTTGCGGAGCCTTCGGGCCCATCTTATCTTATTACACCTTTTCTGGGCAAGTTGGCCTGTGACCACGGGAATCGACCGCGTCAAGTGTTAGACTAGTACGAGCAGATGAAGGTAATGGGTAGAGAGATAGAAATCATTTTTGGTGTCATGACAACAACAACAACATGGTATGTACTCACTAACGGTAGCCAGCCCGGCACCGCCGAGCAGCAACCCGGGTCCCGCGAGTATCTCCAACGAACCGCCGAGGAGGGGGAGGTTGCCCATGAGGACGAACAGGAGGATGACCACCTGCGCCGCCGCCCACGCCTCTCCCCTCTCCCCCGACACACCCGCCTAAGAGGCACACACACACACGGGGGGGGCGGGGGGGGGGGGGGTACTCATAGTCGTGCATGCCGTAGTCGTTAGACCATTGACCTCGCATCCCTACAAAGCCGGGACGGAGCACGCCGGGTTCTCACCGGACCAGGCTCTCACATCACCAAGCGCGAAGCGCCGTGAGATATTCGGCGAGTCGCATGAAGGGTGCGCTGCATCCTGCTAAGGGTGTTCGGCATCTTGTGCTTACTTCCTTGCGTACGGATGACAGCTGCGTATGAATTAATTTATTTTCTGGTGCTTTCACTTCCAGAGACAGTTGTAAGCACTGTGTAACTGCCTCGAGGGTGCTTGACCATTTTAACACAACGTGGTGCGATCATCCCCCCTGCGCGGAGTGAGGGTTCTCAACCCCGCACAACATGATTTACTCGACCACCATTCATGGTTACCGCCAAAAAAAAAACAGAGGCCAAAAAATACAAGCGGTAACCTGGTTGCCGAGTTCACGAAGTGAATTGGCTTGTTTCACAACGTCGTTGCCAAGCGACGAAGACCCAATCCCGATGGCAAACACCGGGGGGGGGGGCGGGAGGGGGTATCAAAACTCTTGATTGCTGGAGGTTCGGAAATACAAATGATGCGGAGGTCCTCATGTGTTAGTCGTGGGTACGGGATTCTGACGGCTTGTTTGTCACAAAGCCTGTAATAATTCCGTAATCCGAGGAAATCCGGGGGGTCCGTGACATAAGAGTGCGCCTACATTGCTTTTACACTATTATAACGTTCTTAGGTGAGGGGCTATGGGGCTATGTATCAATTGATCGAGGGATCGAATCGAAGCTCGCCACCGGGTTCTGTCCCGAAAACAAAACACGGACATGTGTCCTACGATACTCCACCCGACAGGGAGCAGCAGTTTCTCCGCGCGCACTGGGGGCATCGTACCCTCCGTTTTAATCCACAAGTCGGCTGTTGTCGGTATCACGAAAGGGGCGGTGGAAGGACTGCGCAAAGAGCAGGTACCGGAACACCATGCAAAGAGGTGCAGGGAAAACACACATACAACTTACCACAATAACGAGAGGTTCTACATAACACATCCGAGAAAATCGAGAGTTTCCACTTGTCTTCCTGGTACCCTATAATAGGTGGTGCTTACCGGCGTGTTGGTCTTGATTCCCTCCACGAGCGACTTCACGTCCTCCTGGATCTGGCTCGAGTCGAACTCGTCCACCGCCCTCTGACGTTGGTTAGGGACAACAAAACAAAAACAAAATCCGTTACAAGGTAGCACTCCTCGTCTGAAACACTAGTAGGAGTAGTATTTCCATTCAACGACGTCTCTTGTGCGTCAGTTGTGGGAGACCACAACACAAAGAGAGTGCAAGCCACAGCCAGAATTAAATCTAGGACACCAACTGACACCAATTTTGGACAATAGCCGCACCGCTGTGGGGAGGGAGGAGGAGCCCCCCCCCCCCCCCCCTTCTCTCCCGTACACGAACGTCTCCGATCCCGCCCTCCCGTAAGGCTTATCTAATGCTTTAAACTTCAAGGTATAATATGTCTCTCTTCTCTGCTTATCTGTCTCTATCTCTTGCCTCTCTCTCTGCCTCTTCCTCTTTCTCCCTCTCTCCCACTCTTTCCCTCCCTCCTCTCCTTTGTGCTCGACATATCTAAAAGGGGGTCTCGTCGCTCTGTCTCTGTCTCTCTCTCCGCGAAGAAGCTACGGAAGACTCTTAACCGCGCAACAAAAAAACTCAGCTTCTAAACAATCCTTCCTTACCTTCAGCTGGGAGAATACGTCCTTGGCGGAGTCGATGAGCTCCTCGGTCTTGGCCACGGTAGGGCTCTTCCCTCCGCTGCCCTTCACCACCTCGGCCTCAACCTTCTCCACCATCGACAGCCCAGATGACGGAGACCGTCGGGAGAGCTCATGCTGCCGCCTGCGGTAGGTAGGCAGGCAGGCAGCCAGCATTGCGTCATGTTCGTGGTTGTTGTCATGTCATAAAAAGTCACCGAATAATTCCTTGTTTCATTCTCCATGTTATTTAGCCGCGGGATTCTTCCAAGCAGGCGGCGGGATACCGTACCCCTGCGGACGGAGGCTTTTGCGGATTTCCGGGGTTTGGCCGTATGTGGAGGTGTGTCATACCCGTCCCGACCACAGCGGAAGGTGCATATAGAACGACCGAGCAGCTCGTGCACCACCCGTGGCACGTGGAAGGATCTCTCATACAAGTAGGCGTTTGGGCTTAGGTGTTCGACTGACGGTTTCATGTCGCTTTCGTTTCAGGCCAAGACCGAACGATTGGGGTTGATAACTGTAACAACAGAAGATAGAGCGAGGAAGGGGTTCGGACAGACCATGACCTTCTGAAGGAGATGTTCTAGAAGGAGAGCGAGCCGGCACCGTTTACATACACGCGCGCAGAGTACGACCATTTAGGCGCGTGTTTTCCAGATGCCCCGCAGATATAATTATGTTGCCATTATGCCATTATATCGCTGTCTACACGCCGCTTCGCAGACCCAACAAGCCTGGGCAACCACTGCTGTCGTTCTGTTTGGACCGGGTCACAGCCATGGACATCACGAAGGACACCTCTCCAACGTAACATCAAATTACCTGTAAAAAGGTTCCCCAAGATGCAACTGCTGTTGTCTATAACATGGATGCGAATTTTGGGGGGTATCCCTTGAGACGGTTGGCCATCGTCCCATCCCCCCATGGCGAATGCTTCAAATTTTGGATGCAAGAGGGTTGCTGGTGAAGTTGATGGACGGAAGGCGGTGTTGATCGTAATATTCGAGAACTTATTAATATTCAACACATGAAAAAAAAAAAACACAGCAGCACTACATTGTACGCATACAATTTGTAGATGAAAAATACTAAATAAGAGAAATAGGCTTTCTCTGCCTCCCTTCGTCGTTTGTATTTGACGACAACGCGTGTTTCATTATATTGACGGATCTGGCGGCGGGGAGCGTTACGGGCGAGCGGATCCAACCCTTTCGTTTTACACGAGCATAGCATACCATAACTCACGCGCCTGGCCGTGTGGTGCGGGGGGTAGGTGGGCGGGTGTGTGGATAGCACGTGAAGTTGCGCTGCGTACAGCAGCAACAGCAGTTTCTTGTGGAGAAACCGCATTCTAGACCAGCAGCGTACATGGCACGTAGCCTAGTCAAAACACAACCATAAAGGAGACGGTTCTCACCCAGCAACTTGCTTGAGTCCCACCGATGGCACGAAGGCGGCCGCCGGCGCCGCGGCCACGGCGACAAGAGCAGCAGCGACAGAAGTTGCCTTCATGGTGGCTATCTGAGGGCGTAAGGGGTAGATCACACACAAGGGCACACGCACAGCGCAAGGAGCGGTGCGGGCGACATGAATCGACTTGAATCATGATCCTGGTGGGGGAGACGGACCATTTTCAAATATTGCAGTTCGACCTCCTTATCCTAAAACGCATCACGGCGGAAGAATCACTAACCTTCAGGCGCGACGAAAGATGTCTGTTGTGTCGATGAAGCAAATGGGGGGGGTGAGGAGATAACAGACAGCAGAAGGTTCGAGGTAAAGCGCACGGCAGACGGGGAGGCAGCAGACACCACAGCAGGAATTTCGGAGGGGCGCCGCAGTAGAGACAAGGCATACCATGAAGATATCCGAGTACCAGCAAGATCCCCCCCGTCCTCAGCTTGACCGCTAATGGTATTTGTCATATACCATTGCTTGACCGTCACGAACCAAAACATACACAAGAGCCAGGGAGGGGCTCATACCAACACGATGCAAGACGAGAGTCTGCTGTATGGGTTGCTCACGCAACGATGGTGAGTCGGCGCCGTCATGGCTGAATGTCGGAGGGAAGCGCACCTTGGCACACGTGACGGAACAAAAACACTACGGCGTACCTACAATCTACAATCTACATATTGCCCCGACAAATCAGCTCGATTATTATCTCCAATATGCACATGTACTCTAAAACGCAGTGCTCAGCATGCTATTTAGGTGTGTGCAAACAGAAGTTGCTGTGCTACTTAGTACACCGCGACCCTGGCGTGATGTATAGGTACTATGGATTCAAAGCCTGGGATTACGCAACCCAACCCAGTTTACACCATGTTCACGATTGGCAGTCCTACAATAATGCATGCCTAAGTCAGTACTGGTGTCCACACTTGTACATAAAGCAGGATTGCTGGAGAACAAATACTGGTACGCATGTACACATACTAAAGGTACCCATGCATTTGTAATGAATGGAAAGTATGCACTACTGGTACCCATGCGGCTCTTATATCGGTTTTGACTTGAGGCCGAAAAACTCCGCTGGTCGTGGTCATTTTCCCATTGCGTTTTTTGTCTCAGAGAGCAGGAGCTCTTGGTGATGTCCACGTGCCGCTCTGTTGTACCTGGTACTTCCGTCGGTTGCCAGCCGTGCTGCTCTGTTTGATTGTTTGCCGTGTGTCTCGGTGTTGTCTTAAAACAATGGTAGTATGGAGCGCACTGGTCGACTGACGGACCGAGAGTACATAGGTCTTGGCGGACAAACTGCGCGTGTGCCTAGCTGTTTGTGCGTTCTTCCCGTGCCTAGCACCGAACGAGCGAACCGGTGCACCTGTGGGAAGGACGCCACAGCCAAATTTTGCAATTGAAATTTTGTGCTTGCACGAGTGTGCTTGTGTCACACGCTCTCTCCTGCTGCTCCTTTCCGCGTTTGGTTTTTGGCCTGCTTGTACGGCGTATTTCGGTGGACGTGTACAACCAGTTGGGATGGCATCGCGAGCGACTTCGAGTGCCAGAAGGCGCTAACAGCCAAGCTGCTCGGATACTTGCTGATTCTCGGCAGCTTGACCGTCAAGGCTCCGCAGGTACGCCACGCGGCAGATGTGTGCCCGAGTAAGGGATCAAACCGCCTCGACTCTTTGTGCAAAGTAAAGGGCGATCCGGCTCTCCCGTGCGGTACAGCTGGCGCCCGCACTTGAGAACCTCTAGTGTAGTTTCGTCCGAGCCTGGGGTTCTTACTGTGTTCCCAGGGTCATGCGATGAGTGTCCACTGTATAGGTTTTCTTAACAGAGTTCGCAAATGGTGCTTGAGTTCTTAAATTTTTTACGTTTCGAGGCTTTTTTTTTCTTAGCTGCCAAGGGCTTTAGTGCGGGCGCAAACTGTATGGTTGGTCGGCGGTGGTCGGGTTTTGTTGTGTTTCACGACGTCCGCACGCATGCACGCACCCCTGCACCAAGCGTACCAACACGGCAGAACCGCGTGCCTGTGCCGAGCTCGCCGTGCGCCGACATCAGTCAGAGGCGTCGAGTAGCGTCAATGTCTCCTTCTCCAGGGCAAGGTGTTGTGCTTTGTGTTGTGCTTCGTAACTGTGATGATCGCTATGCATATAAGAACCAGCTTCATCCCCGCCAAAAAGTGGTCATATTTTGTTGCTTTTTGGTATTTCCTGTTGCTGGCCGGTCTTGACGCCCGCCCTCCTGCGACACATGTGATCGGTCCGGTGGGAACAAAGCTCCATCAAGAGGACGCGTCGTCAATGGTCGCAAAACATGGGGTAGACTACCCCCCCTAGAATGGAATCAAAGGAAAGAAACCGAGGATATGGAGGGTCTAGAAGTGTACGGAATGTTGAAGAAGGAATAGGGTTGAAGGATTACCTACACGGACCAATGGATACAGGGACAAAGCTTAAGGTCAAATTCAGAACCGGGGACATAGGCCTTCGAGAACGTCGACGAAGACATAGGACGGTGGACGACGAAGACGACGAGTTCACATGTGATTGCGGCTTCGAATGCGAAGACCGTGTTCATGTAGTCGCGGAATGTCCGTGGTACGAAGAGGAGAGGGGAGGGGAGTGTACATGACTGAGCTGGGAAAACTAGAAGGGAGGTACAGGGGAATGTTTGAGGCATGAAATAGAGAGGAGAGGACGGTAGCTGTTCTGGGGAGTAGGAAGTGGTTTGAAAAAAAGCGGGAAGAGATATCGTTAGGATAGACAAACTAGGGAAGACATGTTTTAGCCACCTTTGACAAGGTGGGAAGAAACGATTGGCCATCGGTGATCGGTCCTGTGGGTCCTCTCGAGGACGCGTGGTCAATGGTCTAACCGCTAAGGCATGCAAAACATAAGAGTACGC